TAAAAATACATTTGTACATCATTTATGCACACCTACCAAATAAAAATTTTACATTTTAGTTCCCTATTATGGTGTAGATACTAATACAAACAATAAATTATTATTCGAAAACTCAATTTCGTATAAGTACCTATTATTATTTACTAAATACCTGCAACTAAAATAAAAATAAACATTTGATTACATTCTGAATGCCTATAATATAATATTATAAATAAAAATTGAATTTTTATTACGAATACTTATCGTTTAGACACCCACGGGGAAAAAAAATTAAAAAAATTGAAAAACACATCATTGCAAAATTAATACAGCCATCGATCCGCCCAGAATCCCAAATCTAAAATATATCTGATAAGTTTTAAAATTAAAATATTTAATCATTATTATTAATTTTGTATTCAGCAGTTATAATTATAGACTTGGAATTTTACAGTCTATTTGGTATTATAGTCGGTAGGTACTGTAAATTCGATGCATTTACTGAGTTCCTTTATGTTAACTCTAAAATCCAGTAATCACATTTTTATTTAATGGTTTATAAATTACAATATGCTTTTATAAAAATATGCTTGTACTTCTGCAGATATATATTCACCATCTTAATCAATAATTAAATTAATATACGAAAATAGTAATTTAAATAATACCTAAATCATATTATTATAATTCAAATTCATAATTATAAACTGTTTTGGTTTATTGTCGTATCAAATTTCATTGAACAAATTGTTCCTTAACACGGAACTCTTTGTTATAAAAAGTTGCATTACATTATATCCGTGGATTCATCATATTGACGTTACCTAGTATAATATAATATCTAATTTCATTTATATTCTATGGCAAATCTCAAATTCGTTGCAGACGACACAGTCGATTAAAAATTCTAAAATTTCAATGAGCAAAGCACACATTAGTAAAAAACTTACTGCGTTCCGTATAATTTTATTTTTTATAAATTAAAATATTTAAAGTTTTATTATATTCTGGAGTGTTTTCTCATCGGCGTCACAGTTCACACACGTCACGGATTCCTCCGAAAGAATCGATAATTAAAGTAAGTTTGTTTTCATATTCTTTTGGGGCTTAATTTCACTTTAATTTTTTCTAAAATGCATGGTAACAAATAAATCATATTTTGCTATGAAAAAATAATAAAACGTAAAATATTTTAAATTTTGCGTGAAATAATTTATCATGATTATAATTTATAACCACAATACCGGCTACTATTTTTAAATTACAACAAAATAACTAAAATCGTTATTCTTTGTTTTAATAAGTAATTTCGTCCAAATTTGAACTTATAATGTCTATACAAATTAACTGTGTTTTTAATAGATTATTTATGAGAATTCTTGATTTACATTTTCAATCCTTAGCAATAAAAGTTGAACATTTTATACATTTTTAACTACTAAATAGAAATTTGTAAATTATCAATTTGATAAATTTTGTTAAAATTTGAACTTTAATTAGGTACTTATAAAAAAACCGTGCCTATGGATTTTATTGTTTCTCAACTGCTATTATAATAACTACTTATGAAGAAAATTTTATTACATTTTCATATTATAGGTAAACAAAGAAATTTGTGTACGAATATCTGACAACAAAATATTTTGAAAATTGTCAAGATTATGATACATTTTGTAGAAGTTTAAACTTTAAATGCCTATAAAAAAAAACGTGCCTATGTATTTCTAATATTTTTTAACTCCTATTATAACAACTTACGAGGAACTTTGTGTGGTTTTTAAGCTTTTTGACCCACCGAATAACATTTTATTGCCATTTATAGAATACAGAACTAAAAACATTTCATAATTCAAATGTCTATAAACCACTGAAAAAGAGTCGAAATATTTTGAACATTTTATATTGTATAGAAAATTATAGTTTAAACATTTGATGGACATTTTAAATACCGACGGTTAATAGGAGTTGTTGAATAACGACAAAATAAGAAAATCGTTATACGAGAATCATTGTAAAATCAAAACATTCATTGCTCCCGTAGTCAGCTCTTAAATACAAACTAACACATAATAGTTAGGTAGGTAGGTATAATACAAATTAAACATTATACATATAAAATATGATATCCGTAACGCTTAGGTCATAACTCATAAGAATATATGAATATTGTTGAACATTTTACTGCAGGCTGCGTGTTATTTCAGAGATGGTATTCGTCAGTCAAGATTTGCCAACTGTGTATAAAATATCATAAGCAGAATGAAATGTGTGAACGTTGCAGGGTTTGGAGGACTAAGTTTGATAGCAGATTTTGATTCGGACACGGGGTATGTATTTTCTTATTTTTCAATTATTTGTATTGTAACTATATTGGTATAACACTATTCTGATTTCTGGCTATCAATAAAGTCGTGATAAAAATTAGGAAATTGGTCGGATATGATATTTTTTGGAATGTAATTATTTTGAGTAGGTAATTTGGCCAATCACGCCTACTATTCGAAATTCGCAACCGGCCGACGGCGGCGACGAGTGCTCGTTCGGGAGCGCTGTTTATTTGTCTAAGAGCTTTCGTCTGGTACGATTCGTATCATTATAATTCATTATACGCAAATGCCGCCGTAATATTTTCAATACCCTCGCGTACCTATGATTTGCCGATTTTAAACTAAGATACTGTTTACCTAAATTTATGTCCCAATATATAGATCGTAGAAACTGTATTATAACATAGCTTGATTTGTAGTTATTGAATTATTACTTATTTAAATATAATACTTATAGTAAAATCTAATAAATCATAAATAAAATAAATACAGCGCAATTAAATTAATATTAATTGTCTGTGTTTTGTCAAATTAAATTTTTATGAGCGTTTGAAATTCAAATTTTTACAACATTGGATATTCACTCGATTTCTCATGTAGCGATTTCCTTATTTTGTTGTAATTCAAAAACGAATAACTGTAGATACATGAAAATTACACTGAATGTTTATATTCTCATTTTTGAAAATATTTTGACTCTTTTTGAGCTGATTACGGACATAGTCAGTTTTCAATTTTTTTAATTTTTTTTTTTATAAATATCAATAAATTTTGAAAAATTTGTTAATATATTGTACCCATATAAATATAGTAATTCGGCTTATTAAAATGGTTTACATCAAAACTACCTATAATAAAAGTTATAGAGAAGAATTTTTAACAATCGTAATAAGCCTGATTTTCGATATTTTTATTAATTAGTTAAATAATTAATCGATAAATATTTCAAAACCGTGTTAGTTTACCATGTGATATTGGACAATAAGAATACGATATCAAAAATCGGATTCCTTACGATTGTTAAAAAAGTTCTCCTCTACAATTTTTATAATAGGTAGTTTTGTTGTAAATATTACCTATTGGTAAATTATTTGTCAATTCTTTTGAAATACAATCATATTACTTTTTATTTAAAAATATATAACAAATATATGTATAACAAATTAAAACAATTTTGTTTTGACTGTCGATTTTACTGCTTCGGATTTATTTGGTTCTCGTATGTCGGATATCATTAAACGATGTTTAAAAACTGGATCAACTATTTCGGGTAGTAAACAATTTAAATAAAAACTAGAAAAAAAATATTTAAACTATAAATAAAATTAAAATTTATTAATCTAAATAAAATGAGCAAACTCACTGTTTTAATTTATCCACCATTTTCGATGACCAAAAATCATGATCGTAAAATATTTTTTCAACCGATGTCCAGTTTGGTGTATATATTATAAAATAACACATTTCCCTATGTGTTATAATATGTAGCTGTCCTTGAACTTGGTAAAAGTAATCATGGGTACTTTTTAATTTCAATTGACCATTTACAATTGTACAGTATTTTAGCTATATATATATATTATATGAATATAAATAATAATGTTAGTATAAGGAAGTAAAAATTATAAGCTAATTAAATTTCTATGACATATTGACATATAACTGATTATTGACTAGTTAGGAATACAAAAATTATTGTTTATATTTGATGCTTACTTACTTTACCACTCTCTACGGCTTCATTTATATTTAAAGTATCTTTTGCTGCATACGGTGCTTTAATTTCAACAATAGCATTATTATCAATGATACCATCTAAATAATAATGTAAGCAGAGCCGTGCCGTTACGATTTGGCGCCCGGGGCAAAATTAAAAATATTCGCCCCCTATTTTATTTATCATTATTCATTAATCATAATGCGTTTCATTCCTATTTAATTTAATTTAATTTTTTTTTACAACGTATTTTGAACATTAATTTAACAAAAAATTAAAGTTAATTGCAATAGTAATTATTAAACAAAATAGTTAGGTATAATTTATTAATTTATACCGTATTAAATAATTAAAAATAATAAAAATCACAAATTATATTATATATACATGTTATATTTACAAACGTATCATAAGAGCCTATCATATATAAGTATCATATAGTTAAAACTTAATTTTTCTGGACTTTATTGAAGCAAAATCTTCAATGACGTCTTCAAAATCAATGCTTTTTGTTATTTCATGCTCAAATGCTCAATTGATAATATTGCAGAATTGGTTAATCTGTTTTGCGACATGGTTGACCGTAAATACGTCTTAGTTAGTTTCAATTTACTAAAAGAGAGTTCCCCGGAAGCGACGGTAACAGGCATGGTAAGAAACAATCTATATGCAGTCATTAAGTTTGGACAAGTTGAATCAAGTTCATATTTTTTAATTGCGTTTAAAATATTTAAAGCAGTTGAGTTTAAGTCTGGTAAAATTGCTTTTACTTGATATTTAAAAAATTCGATTTCGTTAATTATTTCCTGGTCAATATCTTCGTTGTATTTGATAGCTAAATCAGCTGCATATTTTTTGAATTTTTCAACTGGTGTAACAGATAGTGAATGAGCAGAAAGGAATTGAAAATCATCAGCAATATTTGATAATTGTTCAAACCTCCATTTCATTTGAGCCATCATATTATCAAGAACTTAGTAGTATTCCAATGTTAAAAATTGATCTGCAGAAATATCTTCACCCGATGAATTTTCTCCACTCATAACTTTCCTTTTTATTGTCCTTTTGATTTTTAATTCAGATTTTATTCCAACTTTATCACAAATACTAATAGTTTCAGTTTTAATTTGTTCATTTCCCCTATCACGCATTTCTTGGAGAGAAATATTTAAACAATTTATCATTTTTGAAGCCTGATCTATTGAAATATTTGAGCTTTGTAATAATTTATTTACACGATATATTTGATTCAATATTTTATCCCACATGACTAAAAAATAAACAAATTCCAAATCAAACTGTTTCAATATACTTTCTGCATTAGCAACCCCATCGCCAAAAATTGGATTGGTAGATATGTCACGTAAAGCTTTTATCACACCGCCAAATTGACAATACAACGAATGAACTGCATTATATTTAGATGCCCAGCGTGTGTCACTGTGCGTTTTTAATGTTATTTTCAAACACCGCATTAGTACTTCCCAGCGACTTGTTGATCCAGAAAAATAGTTAAATATATTTTGTAAAAATTATTTCATTTCAGAAAAAATTTGTAATGGCCCAAAATAATTGTAAAACAATAATCTTTCTCATATATTTTATTTATGTAAAGTTTAAAATATTATAAAAAAAAATGTTTGGCGCCCCTTTAAGCCATGCGCCCGGGGCATATGCCCCCTAGGCCCCCCCACGGCACGGCTCTGAATGTAAGTAAATTAATTTTACTATGTACCAAATAAATAAATTATTAACTGCAAGCTAAACTTAATAACTGATAGACTTACCAGGACTTGCAGCAAGAAATGAATACTCCATATCTATAAATAAACCACAAGACACTACTTGGCGATAAAACATATTTTCAAAACATTGTTTTGCAATATTTTCCATGTCTCTACCATACTGTACTGATCTATGAAATATTAGTTTTCTTGAATCTATTTATTTAAACAATTATTGTGTAACGCGTCAATATGTTATACTTACTTGCAACTGAAATTATTATACAAAATAGAATAAATAGTATTTTTGCAACTCGTACTTGGCCGCATCTTGCAAATGCGACCAAAATTACTAGCTGTAAGTCTTGACAATCGTTCACGTTTCCATTTTTCACTAGCTGCTTGATCTCGGGTCTCGATTTCAATATTTGATCGATCGACGTCGTTTAGTACTCTACAATAATACAAATATAAGTTAAACAGTTATAACTTATAAAAAACATTATATAAGACTTTGGATACCTAATATTACTAAACATTACCTAATAAATGCATTCATTTCATTAATTAAACCTTGGTCGTTAATGCTTCTTACATTGTCCAACTCATCAGCATTACCATAATATTTATCAGCTGTCGTACTTTTTTTATATGTTTTTGTCGTCTTTGAAATTGTTTTAAGAACTTTTCTCCTTTTTTGACATACACTACGTTTATCTAATATGCGTTTTAAAAAACTTTTTCCAACTTTTCCTAAATCAGAACATGATAGATTAGATAAATTAAAATTATATTTTTATTTATAACAATGCATTTAAGAATTACCTGGGCTAGTATTTGTCACGTGTTTTTTAATTGCACGTAAATATTCTTTGGAATTAAAACTTATAACTGCTGCATTTACTCTAGTTATATATGAACTTTTTTGGGAAAAATTAATTCGTTTACCTCCCAAAAACTTATTGATTGTGCTATTCAATTGTTCACAAATATTATTGTCTACATCGAGTATCAAACTATCTGCGTTTTTTGATAAACGAGAAACAATAATATCAATTTCTCTAGATATAGATGATATACATTTTTTGTTGACATTTAATTCCGTGGACGTATTGTTTTTTTCTTTGCAAAAATATGTAGAACATTTTTCATGATTATCAAATAATCGATGATATGGTGCGTTGGATATATCAAATCTGAGACCTATAATATTAAGTTTTTTAAAATTCACAATACCTTTCAAAATAGTTGGGGAAAAAAAGAAAAACACGTTGTATATATAATCAAAATGTTTTGACTTTTTTTGAGTTATTTATAGACAGTTGAAATATTCAATTTTTTTTAAAAATATTTTCTCGAAGTCAAAACACTTTAAAATTTATTACAATATTACATCTACGTTGTTTTAACAGTTTTTTTTAAAAAAATTTTGAAAATATATTCATCGCATATTAGTTTTACCTGAGATCTTTTGAGATAGTGATTTATTTTGTTGATTATGAAATTTTATAGCACAAGTTATGTCAGTTCTTAGCCTAATAATGTTGTTCTGTATTTTTTTTCTTATTTCGATTGGAAGGTCTGTTCTTTTACTCAATGCCATCATTTTTTTAGAATAGTTTCTCAATAAATGATTCCTACATTCAATTTTTTGCACTCTCAATGACGGTCCATATGGAAGTACCTCATTTAGTCGCTTCATAACGCTACTGTCTCCGTCGCCTAAATAAGTAATGACACATGTGTATTATATTATTTAAAATTGTATTATTTATATTATTTTATTTTATTATATTTATGCGTTACAAAAAACATTAAATATATTAATGGATAAAATTAATAGTAAATTTAGATATTTATATTTTATATATTATTACCTATCAATTTAGAAAATTTAACTCCGTGCAACTCAATACTTTTCTTAAATCCCTCAGCAATTCCGTCCGCCTCAATACTCGGGGCTCCCTTTTTCCAATTCATAAAACAAAAATGATTTGGAATTTCAATTTTTTTATTCAACGCTCTCTCACATGTTACGCAGTATCGATTTCTAATCCCGACGAACAAAATCTTTTTTGTTTTATAACCGATTATACTAGCCTAAAATAAAAATAATTGTATTACAATTAACTTATTATTTTTAAACAATTTTGCTTATTTCAATACTTACTACTCCCGATAATGCATCGTATTTCGTGCTATAACTTCTCTTAGACCACTGTCCGTCTGTCACCACAGTTATTAAAGGAATCCCATCTGTATCGATATCGCCAGATTCACACTGTTATGGCACGGCACGGACCGTCACAACACGTAACGGCACGACAAAATATTACATTATTAGTGTATATGAGGTAATTCACATTGATACAGACGACACCGCACCGTCACGTTACAGCACGGACCGGACCGACTATCATCCGAAAGAATGTTTTGACGGTCCGTATCGTGCCGGTTCGTGCGGTACGTTCAGTGCCGGTGCAGTGTGAACACAGAACCGGCAAACACCGTAGAAAAAATAATATTAAAAAATATTAAAATTTTTTTTTTATTTATATACCTAATTAAGTTTATTAGAAATTAAATTTTTAAACAAAATAAAAAAATCGATTTTGGTATTGCGTATTCCAGTTGTTCATTAATTATTTTTTGTTTTCCCAATTATTAAGAAAGGTATTGTTCATTTTCTAGTTTCGACCACATACCAAATAGATTTATATTCCCACCAGAAAATATATTTAAGTTGAGGATTGAAGCACTTTTTTCTGATATAAAAAGCGTCATCAGTTACAAAAAAAACACTTCACTGTGATACTGTAAAATAAATACATTCATCACTCAGCTTAGAATCTAAAAGGTTTTAATGTAGATAACAAATGAACAAAAACAAAAAAAATCTTTTAACTTTGTAAATTTATGTGCCGTCTATGTGCTGAGTGTAAAAGTTCTATGGATTTATCATATTAAAAAATAATATATTTTATATCATCTATGGCAATCGCCAATTGTCGACATTCGCCTGCGACGATTAACAATTCTAATAATTTTAGTCAAAAAAAAAAATAATAAGCCATCAATATGGACAGATAGTTCGTTACTTCGTTAAGCCGTATATATTATTATGTAAGTTTTAACATGAATTCGCACATTTCGTTATGTTCAGGTAATTTTCATAAAATATTTCGATAATTTCAAGTCACAGTTCGGAACGAGATGAAGATAGCTGTTTCTTCGGTGGCGTCACGTACTGGACGTTTGCATTGTTGATGCACTCTAGCTAGGCTTCACCGGAAGAGTCGATGTTTCAGCGTAAGTTCGTTTTCATAATTTCATATTATTTTGGGATTTACGTTTTATTTTTAGGCATTTTAGATTCTGAGTGAAACGATGAATGTATTGATTTTACAATGATGTGTGTTTTTTTATTTTTTTTGTGTCTGTGTACACGACAAGTAGTCGATATAATGCTTCGATTTTCAACTTCAGTATCTTGTTCGATTGGAAAGTGAATATTGTCGGTGCATTGGGGAGGTCAAAATTTAAATTTCCAAGTAGTTTTCGAAAGCGCCGGGAAAAACAAGAAAAATTAAGGAAAAACAGGAATTTTTACGCAAAATCTGTTTTCGAGAAAATCGATTTTTGTTTTTGGTGTAACTTTAAAACAAATGACCGTAGATACATGAAATTTTCAGTGATTTTTGATGTGAAAACATCTTATGTGGCGTTCAGACTTTTCCGTTTGGGCAGTGAATTTTTTCGAGCGTTATTCGAGCGTTACCCTTTTCGCGTAACGCTAGCGCTTCCGACGTGCTGATTGGCGGAGACTCGGTGCGACGCGACGCAACGATAGGCCACCTGTGCTCAGGGGGCGTGGCTTCATTACGATCACGGACATCGAACATAGTGCGGGCGAGAGCGTCAAATTAGTTCATCGTTGACAACCAACGTGAACAGTTAACTAAAAATGTATTGTATACATACAATATTACTATTTGATCACATGCGCAGGCGCGCAACTACGAACGCGTCGTACTCGTACATAGGGGTGCGCGATTATTTTTTTCTTGAATAATCGATTGTTTTTTTAAATACTTTAAAATAATCGATTAATCGATTATTATTGATTTTTTATTATAATTGTTAATTGAACATACGTGAGTCGATTAACCGATCAATTGCGAGTCGATTAATCGATTAATCGATCAATTGCGAGTCGATTAATCGATTAATCGATCAATTGCGAGTTGATTAATCGATTAATCGATCAATCGTGAGTAGATTAATCGATTAATCGTGAATAGATTAATCGATATATCACTAAATTAATTATTATGTAGCTATTTATAATTAATCAATTCAAGACTTCACCAGATAGGAATATACTAGGATCGTTATAGTGGAAATGATAAACATTAAACGTATCATTTTAGAACTTTTTAGGACTACTGACAATGCTGCATTTAGACTCTCCCCTTCCCCCGGTGTTAAAAAATTGGTGACATCCCGGCAGAGGCCTACCCACGGGCCACCGGTAATATTGGAGATAGATCATAGATCCTCGTGAACTTTTTAGATCTTGAGAAAAGAATCTACTGGTTTTACAATATTGTGTTTTTTTAAATATTGTTTAATAATTTCATGACCCACTTTTCCGAAAGTAAACCTATAATTTATTAATATTTTAATAATTAAAGCTGATAAATGTTTAAGTGTTTCTTTATTTTCAGTTATCTTTAAGCTTATATATCTTA